TCCTGTTTCAGCTGGCACGTGGTGACGGGATGTTCGAAAAATAGTAGTTGAAAGGCTTGCGGGAAGGGGATAATTAAATATCTAAATATGTTTCAAGCTTATTGTCAATTTTAAAGCTACCCCCTCGCCACTCACCCTCCTCCGCTCGGCGCAATTAAAGAAGTGGCGATGTGGTAGTCTACTGGTGAAAGCGTTCGCTCGTCACAACGAAGACCTGGGTTCGATTCCCAACATGGTTACAATGTTTGAATCCCAAATCTGGTGTCCCCCGCCGTGACATTATTGGAATATTGCTAAAAGCGGGGTAAGAACCATACTCACTAGTAATCTCAATTAAATCAGATCTTAGTTCTCGCTACCGCTAAACAAAGATCTAAGGACATCCCATTACGGGTCACGTCAGACCGACCTTGCGCGAACTTTGACCGACCAATGGAATGACCAATCAGAAGGCATCTTTCTCGTGTTTTACGGCACTAATTTCAAATTGGCGACTACGCTTCGAAACATATTTTGACAAATTCTCGATTACAAATTTGAAACCTGAACAAAAGAACATTCTGGGATGGCTAATAGATGGTCTAGATTGTATGGATTCAGTCGTTAAACCTGTAACTATCGTTCGGAGTTAAAGTTTTCGAGGTTGCATGATTAGACATCACATTCCGACTGTCACTTTCACAATCTGGTAAGCGATGCTCTGATTGGTCGGATGAAAGGTCGTTCTGACGTGACCCCTAATGGGAAGTCCTCAGATCTTTGTTTAGCGGTAGCGAGAACTGAGATTGTACTCACTAGTTACTTCAGCCATCATGGCTCCCGATGCTCTTCTGTGTAAACCATGCTGTGACACTTTTGCAGAAACAATGGTGAAAAGTACGTTATTCCGCTGTCACAACCATCACAGCTATCTACTTGACGGCGCCCTGTGTCACGGAACCTATAGACAAGATGAACTAGTGGTTGATGGCATGAGCACACGTCCCTGTCATCCGTTCACATGTGATAACCACTCGCCGTGGTGTTACAAGCACATACATACGTGGTGTTGGCGACTTGTTCTGACCCATTGAAGACAGGTAGAAAAGCATTGGGTAACCAGCTTCATACCCGGAATCTCTGAGCGAGTATTTAGAAACTCAGAAACCTCAACACCCATAACATAAGTGCTATTGAAGGTCACACGACAGGTATATGGTTGTCATAAATGAGGTTTAAAGTACACAAGAGGAGCATGAAATGGTTCTCCTGATTCTAGGTCATCGGCTGTTCTACAGGTCCGGGGATGTTTCAGTATAGAACAATGTATGTACTCACACAGACATTCTGGTATAACGACTGAAAACACGATGAATCATTTAACTTCTGCGTGAAATCATACTACAGGGTGATTTGTGAGCATGGATGAACAGTTTATGGTTCTCTACGAAGCAAATATGGAACTAGATTTGACAAGGCTTTCTAATAAATCCGTGTCTCTGTGCGAACTCGTGTCGCTGGGTTAATTCATAATGGCGTTGTGAATGTCAGCTTGTGGGGTCATCTATAATTGCATGCAATACGTTTGCAACGGAATCCTAAATGAAAATTGAAAAAAGCATAACACTGTAAGACAGGGAACGGCTGTTGTATATCAAATAACTTCATGTACATTGAGATTATCAGCCGAGTATTTCCTTATCTGCACACTCTTCAAAAAAAGAAACAAAGTTGCGCTGAACTCCGTATCTCGTGTGACTGTCCCGGGCAGCAATCACGGCTCTGCATCTCCTCGGTTGACTGGATAAGTGTAGGAATTCTGTAATGCGGAATTCTGCGCCATTCTGTTTGAAATGCGTTGGCCAGTTGTGGGAGTGTCTGCGGCGTGTTCTGACGTTGACGTACACGTCGATCGAATTCATCCATGAGGTGTTCGATTGGGTTGAGATCTGGAGATGTCGACGGTCAGGGCAAGTCGTTGATGATGGCTTTATGAAGGTAGTCTACCGTGACTCGAGCTGTGTGCGGTGGAGCGTTGTCCTGTTGAAACAGCTCCCTCTGGCGCTCAATGATTAGAAGAAGGTGAGGTTGAAGAATTTGATTCATGTAGCCATTTGCTGTAAAATGTCCCTGAACCACAGCCAAGTCAGATCTCGTGGTGTAGGATATGCCTGGTGCTGTGGTTGACGTGGTGAACGTTGAAGTGGCGTGCAACAGAAGACTGCGATTCCCCTCTTTGGATACGTCCTATGGCGATGTTCCGATCGGCAGCTCTGAATCATGTCATTTTCGAACTTGAACAATGTGGACAATTGAATGACAAATTATTGGCTTATGCTTGCCTTTTTATAGCCACTACCACAAGTTACGAATGCCATAACTTTCACGTGCATTTTGCTTTGCTGTTTTCCTCCATGACATTTTTGTACAAGTGTGAAAACAATGCCGTTTAAGACATTGCAAATCGACAATGGCTGCGTTTTGACGCACCGTTTGTCGAATATCAGATCACGCACATTTTCCAATACCATATATCCAATTTATATACCGGAATTTTTGTGTAGTCAGGTTCAACTACATATTGCCTGTGCGTTCCCTTTTTTGAAGAGTGTAAATATCATACATTATAGGAATACAAATTGTAGTGTGCGAGGCTTTTGGCCAAATATAATCTATTTATCATGCACATAGTGTCATTTTTAAAATAGTGAAGTATCTTTAGAAACCGCGCATGAACACAATGTTTGAGTGAATCGCCACAATAGTTAAAAGTTAATAGTTAACTGAGAAGGAAGGTAGCGATGTGTGGAGCTTGAAAGTAACTCAAACTATAAGCGGACTTATTTGCATATTTACGTAAATTGTGTGTACTAACGTCCAGATCAATTTAAGATTTTCAGGATCGGTGGGGGTGTCTAGCGTTTAAAGAGTTCGCTCGCCACGCCGAAGATCCGGGTTCGATTCCCAACATGGATACAATGAGTGAAGATCATATCTAGTGTTCCCCCGTCGTGATATTGCTGGAATATTACTAAAAACGGCGTAAAACCACTCTAGCTCTTCAGAGAATACACAGACAAAAAGAATAATCCTTGAACCCATGCAGTTGTGAAGAAAACTGAAGTTGGAAATATCGAATAGGAGCTTCAATAATAAACTGCAAGAGTAAAGAATGCAAAAGAACACCCAGGCATATTTCTCTTTATAAAGAGTAAGCGTTAGTGCATATTACCTGAAGGAGAAATACTTGGGAGCAGGTTTGGACACATCCCCTCGGGCAATTTAGACATGTATAGAGGTGGTAAAATAATTACGTATATAGCCGAACCTCAATCACTGTCTCTGTGGGGAAAATGTTTATTAGGCAGACCGTGACGTCGCAGATTTCTGTTTGATAAGACATTTAATAACTGTCACGTGACACTTAAGTCTCGGCGTGAAGAATAAAAAGCAGAAAATGTATTGGTGACGTGTCTGTGTGATATTGCTTCCAAATTAATGTGAATCCAGAGCAAACATGAGTAACACATGTTGCAGTTATGTTTATTTATTAACTCTTACCTAGTAACGCTTGCTTTCACTTGTTGATAAAGAATACATGATGTAGGTAGGAACTAATCAAATGGATTTAAACATCTACACGTCGTTTGGGAGAGTGGATTATAATTAATGTTCGAATCGGCATTATTTCAGCCATATGGCGACACAGGTCGTTTAGGTGCATGTAGATTATATACTGAGGCTTTGTGGAAACGCAATTGTACGAACAATGGAAAAAGTGATATTTCAGCATGCTAAAAGTGTTCCTAGTTGTTAAAAGATTCCATAATTGTTTTTCAGCTTCATAACGTCATGAGAAAATATTTCACTTATCATTATTATCATCATCATCATCATCATCATTCTTATTATTATCATCATCATCATCATTCTTCTTCTTCTTCTTCTTCTTCTTCTTATTATTATTATTATTATTATTATTATTATTATTATTATTATTATTATTATTCACAACTGTCCCGCCACCCAATTCGAGCAAGGTCGTGATTTCTTTGTTTGGCTTTTGTTTAACGAATTATCCCAGCTATATGACGGCGGTATGTAAATAATCGAGCCTTGACCAGACAAGCCACTGACTGATATGATGAACAACGACCCACGCCGTCGGGGGACGGTCACGCGCACTAGACTAAGTCACCGCGCATGACCACCCGATCCGTTTGGTTTCCGCTTGCGACCGGCATAGGGTGCTTGGGGTCAATTCTAGGCTTAATCCCCTAATTCCCACGTGGTTGCAAGGTCGCGTGACATATAGATTGATAGGTAGATAAGGCAAATGACGTGACGTAACAACGTAACACAATTATCAGTTATATCTTCCTCTAGTGGTCCGGCCGGGAAGTGTAGTCTCAGTGAGATCTTTTCCCTAGTTTCTATATTTAAATATAAATCGGTGAATAACATGGAGCCCTGTAATGGCATGTAGCTCACCTGAATCGTTCATATAAACTACCGGGCTACAAAATACACCCATGTTTGACGCTGGCTATATATATGTGGTATGCATGGGCGGATACGGGGGGGGGGGGGGGGGGGGGGGGGGGCTTTTTATTTCGAAAAAAATCTTTATTTCTGTATAAATTACCACCAAAGACAATAAATAGATCTTAAATGTGCACACCCCCTTTTCAAAAAAGCTGTATCCGCCCATGGTATGGTAATGCATTTGATACGGGTATCATGGTTGTGCGCTCTAAACAGGAGCTGATAATGCCAGAACGAGGCTTACATTATCGTGCTTATATATGTAGCGTAACGTCAGTTTCTCTTTGCTTGAATAATTATATTCTTTTAATTGATGGTACGTCGTTGATTTTTTTAGAATTGATGCATTAAGTCTTGTAACCTTAGACAACAAATATCCAGCAAGAAATCTATACATGTCAAGTTTACGCCATGACGTTACAAACACGAAACGACAATCCGCCTCAGTTATCACGTGATCGATCACGTGCCAGTGTTTGCTCAAAATGGCGGAGGGGGTGTTAGGCGGAAGTGACGGATTTACAAATACAATCTCGCCAATCTCATACCAAACTCCGCCAGCCCTCTCCAACTCCTCGTGGTTTGACACTGTTACAGGTGACAGTAGTGGGGTCATTCTGCCATACACAGACGACATATCAGACGACGACTTGTTAGATTCAGGTCAACCCGACCCCAATTTGACACCTGGTCTTTCACCGACTGCAGATTGCAGATCTATGAAAAATGTCAACATGCCTGGCTCAGACCAAAGTAGGAGAGCAAACTGTTCGATTACCGTGGAAACTCCAGTGTTGGAAGGCAGCAATGGACGACCGGTTGGAATCCTGCCAGATGTTCAGGTGATCGGCAAACACGACCACGGTAGTTTATCTCAAACCGCAGCTCTTGTGACAGACGCCGCTGCTTCAGCTGGCAACAGAAATAGACTCGGCCAAACGGCTGTCAGTGAGCATGGAGTGTCTGTGAGGGACAGTCAGTGCCCTCATCCCCAACATCGGAGTACACATTGTCACATGGGATCTGTTGGGAGCAGTGATAAGTTGGCCCGGAATCAACTTATTACGGTTGTTGTACTATGTCTGTTGTTTATGGCTGGAGAGGCGATAGGTAAGTTAGCTGACTTTTTTCTAGCTACTTTAATAAAATAGATAATTTCCATTTTAGGCATAAAAATGGTTTCTGAAAAGTAAAGACAATATCATATCGGTGTCATGTACATGTTCAATTGTATAAATGATCAGCATAAACAATTTGTGAAGATAGTAAACAGAATGGAACTTATTTATTTAAGTTTATTGGAACATGAGTTTCCTTTGTCCTGAACATGATGAGTGAGTGAACGATTTACATCAAAGTAAGTCATCTGAATTTTTTAAATAAAGCCTAAAGTGATGCAGGTTGCAGATGTAGCAGGTTGTGGAGTCCACAGATGACATCTTTACCTTGTCGTCTTGCTCAACATGCTGGAGTTATTTTTTCATTGGTTAAGTGGTTATGTGGATAAGGCGTCCAACCTCAGATCAGAAGGTTTGTGGCTCTGAACCCATCACAGGAATCGGAAATTGTATGGCTGCTACACATAAAAAAAGAAATTATCACTTTGATGGTACTGTGACTTAAAGTCATTGTCAGCATCAAGCTGAGCAATTCAAGTTATGAGTGAGTCGAGGTTAGCCATGGTTAGCATGGCTGTGAACAGGTGAAGCTGTACACATGATGAATAACCATTTGCAAAATTTGATTACAACAATTAAGACACTAACATTAACTAATATCTATGGACATTATGGAACATTTTGGTATATTCTCACAGATATTGGGGTACTAGTCAAAACAGACCAGCTGATTTGGTCATAACGGCCCATTTTTCTGGTCCAAAACAGACGAGTGAAATATCAGATTGAAACCAACATGACCAAAGACCCTATCTTTAGTTATATAATGGATAAAAACCTACATTTGTCAATTGGGGCCAGCTGCTAACTGGAATATTTATTGTAACTATTGTCTCTTAAGAAAACTTCTCAACAGCATGCAAAGCCTCGACTGGTTTACATATGTCTCGAATGAAAAAGACTGATCAATTAGGAATGCATTTCTTGATTTGTAATATTCTGTCCTTATCAATACTTCTCAAGAATAAATATTTAAAGTAAGGTCACACTTTCTTTTACGAGAAAGTACCTGTCAGTACATGGGGATAAAATGCAATTCATTTTTTCCCATTTTTTTATCAATTCAGGTCAGCATGGGTCAGGTGGTATAAAAAAATTAAAATGGTTTAAAGTGTGAGGAGAGCCTGCAACACAGCTGTTTATTGCTTTAAGCAATGCAAACCTAACAAATCATGCAGGAATACTGTTGTGCATCTGTGCATCCTGTCAATTTCAGGAACAAAAATAAAATTGATTCTGACTCCCATGTAATACATGTCAACTTCAGTGGGTCATTTAGAAAATATCAGTTTTACTGTGAGATAAAAGAAAGAGAGCAAATTCTAATTATTATTTTTTTTCATTTCAACAAAAGTTAGTAGGCAGACCAATAAAGAAAGTAAAAAAAACAAGTGGCTCAATTGAAGAGAAGATTACCATTTTTATTATTGGAATTAATTAATAATGGACACATTTCAGTGTTCCTTATAAGCTTGTTTGTGAGTGAATATGCTAATTACTTGGAATCCACACACTAAGTACTCGGACACAAAATGGTGTGATGTGTTGATTGATTGCTGATGAGAAGAGTACACCAGTGACTGAAGAACTGATGAAAAGTAGAGGACATGGGCCATGAAGAACATGGTCCTAGTAGTTGTGTATTAAAAAAAATAGAACTAAGTATATGCCAAATATACAATACTTAATTTATTAAGAATGTAAAATAATATGTATGATTGAGAAAGTGCATGTATGAATGTTTAAGTGTGTGGAAGTATACCACAAATTCGTGTATGTTTGTGTATTTATGTATGTGTGAGTGTATATCACTTAAGCAGCGGTAGAAACTAACAGTTTCAGTCCACTAGTCCTTATAATGATAACATATAGCAAAACCCTTAAAAATGGCAAATTTCTACTAGTCCTTATGATACCTTTACTATTGGGCAGTTTGGCCAGGACTACAGGACTAGTGCCAATTTCTAACCCTGCTTAAGTAGAAAGTGGTAAATGTCTGAGACCTGCATCACTTTGGGCCTTCCTCCCATATAACTGGAATACTGTTCAAAACAGCAATAAACCCAACTCACTTAGTTAAAAGGATCATGAGTACATTATGAGTATAACGCTTAGCAACTTGTTTTAGTTTTCGATCTGATATTTGACGGGTCTATTTGAGCTAACATTTTGACATGTGTCCGTTATGACCAATTCGACTGCCCAGTCTTGGCTAACTTAGGCCAATATGACCAAATCTACAGATATCCAAATATACTCAGCACATGAACACTTATTATACTCCAGTTTACGAAGTAGATCGCGGATATATAGCGTTCCATCTGTCCGCTCTTCTGTCCGAGCTTTTGTACGGCCCATAACTTTTTAACCATGCACCCTAGCTTCACCAAACTTGCTACACACATTTACCACAATGAGTACTTGTGCCTTTTGCTAGTATGAAGATTCGGAATTTTTTTATTTTTGCTGTTTCCATGGAATCATGGTGAAACATAAATTTTGGGTAGGGTTTTTGTACGATCCATGTTTACAATATCATGTATCCTAGCTTCAGCAAACTTGCTACATTAACCGCTATGATTGTTTTTTATCTTTTATAAGATATTCTGAAATTTTACTCTTTTGCTGTTTACATGGAAACATGATGGAATTTAGAAATTTTGATGACTGGTTTTGTATAGCTCATGGGGTTACAAAGGAAAGGGCAGTTCCTCTGACTTAAAGCAACAGGTATATTTCATTAATTAACAAACTATTTACTATTTGTTGTTGACCAGCGGGGATAACGGGGGTATGTGAGCTCTGCTCACTTCTTTCTTGTATGGTTATGCCAGGTTTTTCTACCTTGTTTAAAAACATGTACTCCAAGTGCTACATCGATAAGTGAATAATCTTCTCCCAGGCTGTTGCCGTATCTATTTTCATAAAAAATACCATTGATCGATATGATAAGAACCATTGAAAGGACATATCTGATCTGAATAGGAACACAAGTATCAAATGATGGTACATGTCCTCTTGTTTCATGCATTATGAGGTGCATTATTTGTAAAAAAAATCTATTCACATTAGCCATGCACAAGAAAATGTCAGTGAAATTGGAATGTCAAATACTGTTGCTGATCTATATCTGTTAATGCCGGGGCAGTTGGGTAACCTAGTGGCTAAAGCATTTGCTTGTCACACCTAAGACCTGTGTTCAATTCCCCACATGGGTACAATGTGTGAAGGCCATTTTTGGTGTTCCCCGGTGTGATATTGCTGGAATATTGCTAAAAGCGGCATAAAACCATACTCACTCAGCTATCGACAAGAATGAGATACATCAATACATCAAGTTTATATAGAACAGCATTGACTGCACCAGCTGTGCATGCTGTCAAGGATTTATTGAGGATTCTAAACTATTAATGCCCTTGGCAGCCAAAGTGGGAAAAATAGATAAATTTTAAAAGTTTTTATTTTCCTATATTCTGAGGTATTTTAGCAATGAATGTTAACATTGCATTCCATGCAGTATGCAATAATGTTAAGCTAAGCATTAAAAGCCTCTTCCTCTTTCATGGTCCTGTTATCAATGAAATACAAGTCACCTTACATAGCCATAACAGTGGTTATAAATAAAACGCTCGCTCGCTCGCTCGCTCACTCACTCACTCACTCACTCACTCACTCACTCACTCACTCACTCACTCACTCACTCACTCACTCACTCACTCACTCACTCACTCACTCACTCACTCACTCACTCACTCACTCACTCACTCACTCACTCACTCACTCACTCACTCACTCACTCACTCACTCACTCACTCACTCACTCACTCACTCACTCACTCACCCACCCACTCACTCACTCACTCACTCACTCACTGTATATGCCCTGTTGCTTAATGCCCTGTATATGTATGGCACAGTGGACATCCACTTGCTTCTTGCAGTTTGTGTTCCGCCTTGCCAATTGTTTTGTATATTTTCCATGACTTGAACTTTGGACCTTGCCATATTTGCTGCAAATGCCCTACTCAGCATTTTTATATTAGGGTGACAGTTGGAACATAAAGTTGCCTGTTGTCAGGTTCCTGTTTTGCTTCCGGTCAATAAAACTGACAAAAAACATGCAGCATGTAATTAGGTTTTTGTACCAGCATATAAACAGACTGCAAGGATAGAACTGTAATTTTTTTTAACAATTTGGAATTTTTTTTTTTTATTTCTGAGTCCCTGTTACAGATAAGACCAGACACTCTAGTGCCTAACCAAGTAGGAAAAGATATACAGACAATTTTAGAAAACACTATCAAGGTTGTTAGATGAGTTTTAAAATCTATTGTTATGCATTTTAATACTAACAGTAAGGGGGCGGTCAGGTAGCCTAGTGGTTAAAACATTCGCTCGTCACGCCGAAGACCCTGTTTCGATTCCCAACATGGGTACAATGTGTGAAGCACATTTCTGGTGTCCCCCGCCGTGATATTGCTGGAATATTGCTAATAGCGGTGTAAAACCATACTCACTCACTCACTAACACTATGGTTGATGTAAGACGTATTGATATTATGGGCTCTGATTAATTTTTATAAACTGGACATTGACGTAGATAATAGACACCCATCCATACTCACGTCCACTCACTTTCTGTACTTAAAGCCATAAAATATAACGACATAAAAATGTCAATTTAAGTAAGCAAGAACTATGTACATATTAAGTCAAGATCACTGAGTTCCAGAAGTCACTGAAATATATTTGTTTTAAGTATGCCACTGAGCGATGTTACAGATGTCAAGATGTGCTCTTTGCGATCAAAGTTTACCAACTAGAATACTATTAGGTCTTTGAAAGGCATTTAGAAGTGATACACATAAGGAAGAGAATATGTGGATGTCTGAAGTACAACTGCTTCTTAAAGAAAGGTCACGGTGAAAAGAC